ACGGCGCCGAGGAGGATCCCGCCGCCGCTTTCCTGGCTCAGCAGGAGAACGAAATCGCGGGCATCGAGAACGACGAGGGCTACAGCATCCTGGAGAGCGGCGAGGTGCCGGAGGTGCTGCAGGTTCCGGAGGGCCTCGACTCAGGTGCGCGCGGAGGGACGGCGGGCCCCGCTCCACCGTCCCTTCCTATGGCGGGGGCACCTGCGGAGGGAGGCGTGGTGCCCCCCGGCGGGGGCCTGGCGGGCTTCGCAGCTTCCCTTCTCCCTTAGAGGCCGCGGGGCCGGGAGGGGGCGGTGCCGGGGGGCCTCGCCTCGGCTTTCTGCCCCGAGCACATGTCGCCGGTGAGCGGGACCTGGCTGTCTGGGGATGGTCCCAGGATTAGGTCTGGGCCGTACAGGCATGTTGTCTTCGTCGTCCTGGATGTGCTCTGCCATGTGTAAGTTCTTTCTCTTCTCTCTCAGGCCGGGTGGTGTTAGTAGTTTGTGTCTCCTAAAGACCAGGCTTGCTGAAGTGTAGCCTGTTGAGAACACTGCGGAGTAACTGATCTCATGTAATCCAGGAGCCTGTCTGAAATTAAGGTCTACTGAAATCAGGACAAGTCACTATGTCATGTTCTGCCACTTGTGTTTCCCTCTTCAGAGGCAATGATATTAGTCTTAAAGTATGCTAGCAGTTGAGCTAATGTTTAATTTTTCTAAACCTCTAGTCTTTGTTCCTTGGTAACCTTTGTACTCAATGTAAGAAAACTGATACTGCAGAACACACTGTTACATTTAGAGTAGGGTGGCTACGTATGTTGGGACTAGAGGTCAGCGTGTTTTCAGTTAGTCTAATGGTAGCTAAAGCAGCCCTGAACGAGCACTTGTGATTATGGATGGTTTGGGCTTTTTAACTGAAGTGGAAAGGAGTTGTGAATGTAGTATGATGCTGCACTTACCTGATGTTCCAACACTCTAGGAAGACTTTGCTTGTGCTTATCACTGGCTCCATAGGAACATACTTTGCTCTCATGTGACATTCCTTGGTTGCTTCAGGAAGATGCTTGTGTAGGAAGATGCTAATTTCTTCAGATTAAACTGAATAACTTTTCTCCCCAGTTCACTGTTAGAACATCTTTAGACGCCTTCATTATGCAACATGATTTCTGAAATTACTGGCCTATATTATGTATGAGGATGCAGGTTAACAGTATCTCTTGCAATAAAGCCCGACTAGGTAAACTGTGTAATGTGACACTATTGCTTCCAGTGCTTATTTAGTGGTAGCGCAGCCCTACCTAAGGTCAGCCCATTCATGAAGTTGAAAACATACGGACTACATACTTCATGTAAAAAGGGTGTTTACAGGGGAGTAACTTGCTCAGGCACTAGAACATTGTTATCAGAACACTATCTTGTTTTGATGTCAGACATGACTTCTGTATTCTATATATAATGCAGAAATAGACACAGTGGACACCTCCCCTCTTACTGTCAGGAGACAGAGACACGTGTTATGCCTTTTGTGGTCTTTACATTCCAAACAGGCTCATTCCAAACAGAACATTAAAGTAGCTGTTTGAGGATGAATTTCTCTGGCCTTTCTCACAGAATGCTAGAGCCACCTAGATCCATACCTTCTCTACATGGATGCAATATGACTATTGCAGAGTGATTCCTTATCAAAAAGTCAACTTGTTAAATACTTCTAGATTGGCTTGATATGTAAAAGTAGTTCTTAAGCTGCTTTTCAAGAGTTTTTTTTTCTCAGGTCACGTAGGTTCGCTTGTCGTGGAATGCAAAACTTATTGGAGAACTTTCTGTAGAAAGAGGGTCATAAAATAATGAATATGGTAATATTAGCTAAGGATCTGAGAAGTCTACATGTGATGTTTATGTCATCTTGCTTTCTTGTGTCCACTGGGATTGCATTTATGCTCTGGCCTGTTAAATAGGCATAGCAGATTGTGTTTGGGGACTTTTGGTCGTCCTGTTTTTTGATTGAAGTTCCGTTTGTTGATGGTCAGACCCTGCACTCACTCCCTCCTTGTTAAAAAGTGCAGACTGCAGCAGTGCAAAATGTACTGGTTCAGGCGTGGTGACAAATGAACTAAGGACTTCTGTTGCAATTTGTTTGAGCTTTCTTATCATCTGATCGGTATTCTAACAAATATCAGACAGTCTCTAGTGCATGTTAGTTTATCAAACGGTTTTGTAATTTAAGTTAAATGGGTGAATTTTTATGTAAATCCTTAAGGATCATGATCAGGAATTTGTAGTTTTACTTTTTTTGACTGTAACGTATTTGAACTCCTTATTTACAGGTCTGTTGGATAAGTTTTCTTTCTATATACTAGGCCAAAAGTCGTAACTCAGGCATCTCTCAAGTTTGAAGATCTTAATTTCACATACTGTGAGAAGCAGTCACCAGCTTCTTGAAATACACTTGTAAGAAACATCGTGTTTCATGCAAGAAACAGCTTTTATATTGCAGCTTCTTAGAAAAGGTTAGACATGGACAGTAGTAAACTCCATGAACTGTTAATATCAGGAAACTGATACTAGTGTATATTTCTGTTAATTGTAGTAATGCTGGATTTGGGTGAGTGTGGGGGGAATGACAGAATGTTGCTAAGCTCATGTGTCTCACTTCAGCATAAATTCATATTGCCGTGGTCAGGGTTGTAATTTTTTGATATGTATTTTTTGAATTTGCTATGCAATCAGTATTCAGAGCACTATAAGGTTGGACTGAGAAAGGTATAATAAAGGGTTGGTGTCTGTTTAACTTGTATTTGCTGCCTTGTGGTGATACTGCATTATGAAGCTCATGGTAGAAAACCCTATTTTTCTGTTTACAAGAGGATATTGTATCTATTGGGAGGTTACAGAAGCTCTGATGGCGCAGCATTATGGCAGAGGAAGATGCGGTCTAGTACTAGCCTATTGATTATATTGAGAATGAGGGAACTCTTAACGGGTTTTGGTATGACAGCAGGTTGGCACTAAAACACGGGAAAGAAGCACTCTTCCTGACTTGCTTGCCTTTATTTTGCACACAGATATGAGAATGAGTTATGGCTAGAAAAACCTTTTTTTCCTCAGTTTCTTGCATAACCATCTAAACAAAAACTTTGGAGAAGATTCTTTTTTCTCATCCTCTTGCAGATGAGAGGTAGGTGAAGGGGAAGTGTGGTCTGTGCCCAAAAGAAAAAGGATGGGAAACAAGGCCTTGAGTGGTGAAATTACTTAACCTTATGCCACAGTATATTAAAGTTGGTTTGTTCTTCTTTGCTTTAACTATAGCTACTACTTCATGCAAAGTAACAATGAAGAAGTAGAGTACTTACTGTTTAAAAGAGATGCTGAAAGTAGCTCATAAATATACTTCAATGTGACCATACATAAAAGCTAATTTCTTCTTCATGAGGCTACTGTCCAAAGCACAGCTAGATAGGAGGACCTAATCCATGTGTTAGGAAACGGTTGGACTTGTGTTAGAAGAGCTACCTCTGCAGAGTCCTGCCTCTGACTGTTCTGATAGCAGTCATCTTCTGCATTGAGAGTAAGACTTCAGAGATGCTAGTGAGCAGGCCTAAGCAAACTTCCTTTTATGCCAAGCAGTACCGAGTCTGGTATTAACGCAAGTAGTTGCCTTCAGAGTAGTTGATCATCATTGTGATAAGTCTCTGAAGCCATATGTTGTCTTGTAGGACTGAAGTGACATAATTGTTGTTGTATTTATCTTCAAGCTACCCAGCCCTTTCTTTCATGAGCTGTAGTACATGTAAAAGGCACTGATTCTCGCTGTCTGTTTCTGGCAAGCTTGATGTTTTCTTTCCTCCATGAATGCAAAGTAACTGATATGGCGTATCCTCTCCAAACCCTTCCAGTCTCTGAAAACTATCTGTGTTGTGGTATGGAAGTTCATTATTACCCTATTGTCAGCATGTGTTATGGAATTGTAGATGTTTGGACTTGTTCTTTGCAACAGTATCCTTAGAAATAAAGTTTTATCTTAAGTTCAGAAGCAAACACTAAGGAATATGGGTCATTGCTAACTAGAATAGTTCCAAATGTTAACTTAAGGAGCTTCAAGATGCAATACTGTGATAGAATTGTATGGACTTGGAAGCCAGTAGAGAGCTGTCATTGTTCATGGCTGATGAAAACATGATTATAGCAGTAAAAGTATTTGGGCTTTTTCTGTGGGGAGTCAAGTATGAAACAACATGTTTCTGTGGACAAAGAAACCTGATACACAACTGGCATTGATTACTGAGGTGAAGGCTGGCAAGAAGATAGTTTTTCTACACTTCATACTGAATTATACAAACACTGAGACAGAAGAGCTGAAATGAGAGACTATTGTTCTGGTTCCAGTTAGCATACTTGTATTGGCATATGACGGCATGCTGGTCCAGTGCCATTTCATCTTCTGCTTGCAGTATGCTCAGATGGCGTGCTGATTCTGCATCTTAATCATAAATTCTAGGGAGTTAAAACAGATGGGAAGTTTGTTTTAATACCTTTAATGCATCTGACCTGGGTGCTCTCTGGAAACACTTAGCTCTGTGCCAATTCACGGTGGTTTCCATGTAGAAGAAAAGTGGCCCTAAGACAAACACATCTGTTTGGTCTCAGGCACAGTTGTCAGCAATGATGTTGTTCCTTTTACTTCAGCAGCCTGAGTACTGAAGACCTTAATGAATGTTTTTTGGTATAACAAGAAAACTTAATCATATTGTCACAGTTCTTGAACACTTATTAGCCCTGTCATGTAGCTGGTGAGTCAGTGCTCCCAAGGCATCTCTCATATGAAACAACTGCCTTCTTTCCAGAGATGAGAACTGCATATATTTAAAGGCTAGCCACTCTTGGGTGTTATAGCAATAAACTTGTCTCAGGTTTGATTGTGTGAATGTGTGGATTACTCTCTCTGCTCTTCCCACATAGGCAGAGTGGGCACCTGGCTTAATCAAGCTGTTAATGTCAATATGAGTTACAGGCCCTGGTTTAGCTTTAATTCCAGCCTTATCAAAACAAGGTGAACAGCTGCAGCATGTGGATGCAGTGCAGACGGGCTTAAATTGAAGGAGAATGAAGTGTAAGCATGTTTTCTTTGTGGGTTTTAGTTTTCATAAACCTGTTCAGTAGAACTGTTCTTTGTAGCTGTAACTGCCCAAGTTGGTGTGTGTGCAGTGGTCTCTACAAATCTGCTTTGAGGGAGCTTCCAGATTGATGTTAAGTGATGCACAGGGTGGCTACTGTGAAGCAGACAGATGCTATCAGCTCTATGTGCTGCTCAAGCCAGTTATTGGCTCTTGTAACTTGCAGAGGAGTAGCAATCAGACAAGCAGCTACCATCTTTCAGATATAGGAGTCTAGTTATAAAATATTGGGCTCTTGTAACTGAAAAACTAGTTTTTGTTAACTTGAGTCTTCCCTTACTGAAGATAGTAACTACATGCTTGGAGACTAGTATCTTCCGACTTAACTACCATGTTAGAGCTGATGACTTTACAGTCTTCTACCTAATACAGTTAATGGTTGCTATTCGGGGCTCAGGGATAAGGAGTTAATGATATTTGCTTAGTTCCCTAATAAAAGAGTATGAAGAGCTTCCTCTGTGCTGTTAACACTAGCATGAAACTGGGGCATTGTTTTGCCAATCGACGGGGTTAGCAAAAAGGACACAGGCATCAAATTAAAAAAAAAAGTAAACTTATTTTTACTTATTTTCCTCATTATTTTATCGCTTTAAACTTAATACAGAGAAAGCAAAGCAAGATAAGGTAAAGCAGCAAAATAATAAGTGAACTACAATAGCAAGCATAAAATAAGGTAAGGCGCCTAAGCGTTTCTACATAGAGTTAGCGATAGTGATTAAGAAGGATACATCACCAATTGCCCTATTAATACATTACCATCATCCAGATCCGCAGTCCTTGGGGAGCCCATTTACAGTGAGGATTTGGAGAGTTCCTCCCAGCAACCGTGAAGTCTCTATACAGTGCGTCCACTGTATAGAGGAGGCTTCCAAATTTCCCTGCAAACGGCCCCCGCTTTTATACAGTTAAATAAACAACTTTATATCTTAAGCTGTGAAAAACATCTGGTGTGGTTTTTTTTTTCCTCGTTAACTTTTTCCCTGCTTGGCCAGAACCTGAAAAAAAGTTAAGAAGAAGTAAAGGTGCCTGGTTATCTTTGATTATGTGTCTCTAAACAAAGCTGTCAGCACCTGTTACATTCTTTTACCTGGAGGTCTGTTTGTTTGAGATAGGTATGTCTCTTTTTGGTGAGTGGGGCTACTGTTACACTCCTATTATTTTACTGCAAGCGTTACAGCAATGCTCTATAAGCATTACAACAAAAGCTTTTATAAATTGACATATATTCATAAGGTAGTACCTTGCATATGTGATATATATAATACATATTAGGTATATTGTTAGGTTGTGAAGTTTATGTAGAGGTCAGCTTTGGTTCAGGGCCTCACTGCTCAGGCCCTAGTATTTCAGGCATACATAGCCACAAAGAAATAGAGGATACAGCAACATAATGCTCTTAGTTCTAGGTGAATTAGCTATCTTATTTAAGAAGGTGGTGCAAAATAACTTGATTTTCTGCTTACTATTGGGTGATTTTGGTACAGTCTCTTCTTTCATTGAAAGTATCAAGTGTATTAACATGGTAGAAATACTTCTGTGTGATAAGTTTATCCATGGTAGCATTATGGGTGAGACAAAGGTAGTAACATGACTTGTTATATTGTGCAGGCATATGTTATGCAGCACTGTTCCAGAGAGATGCCTTGCTGAGATTTATCAGCTTTTGAAAATCTTGGTGTTTTTTGCGTAGTCTGGGGTTTTAAGTAGTTTCACAAACTGAAATGTTTGTCTCACAACTGATGTATGTTCCGTATGGCTGTGTCCTAGCTGATCCTGTTCCTGATGCTCCTGCCAGTGTCACTTCAGAGGGAATAATGCTGCAGCTGAAGTAGGAACCTACCAAACATGTAATCACAGAAGGCAGCAGAAAGGTGATTGTGCTAGGAATGCTAGCCGTATCTTTTGAGCTGATTACGAATTAGGAGGTAACAAAACTAGGATAAGAATTATTAAGTGTTGCCTGCAGAGTTATAAATCTTCTAGGTAGAGAGTAAAACAGTTAAGTCACGCTTCTTAACTTCTGAACAGTTGTCTAGTAGTCAGTTTCTAAGACAGGGAGGAGAAAGTGGGAATAACTTTAGAGCACTGTCTGTAGCAGTTTCTCAGCAGCATCAGCTCTGCTTAGGTAGTCTGAAGCATGATCTCGTGAAGAGGAAATGACCTTGTATTACTGGTTCTGCAGAATAATGGCTCACTTGGTTTGTGCCTGTCAGGAAAAGTGTGGAGATAAGGAAGTGACCCTGCAGGGTATCATTTGCATAACTCCCACATTAGATACTCTAGTAGAGCTTTCTGTACAAGTTACTGAAATCAGTAAATCTGGCTGTTCTGTCTTTTCTCAAATGGTTAAACTACAGTAACTTCTTTACAGGTGCTGTTGATGGAGTGGTTAATGGAGATGTCTATCAGGTAAGATAGAAGTATTCTGTACTTAAAATATGCTGTTCTGCTCTTCATCTAGACTAATACTTCCCATTTTTTGTCTCTAACGTACTTTTATCTCATCTCTGAAGAGGGACTTCTGATTACGCAGCTCATAAAAATGTTAATGCTTTTAATATGCCTCTCTGAACTTAGAGACAACTTAAAGCAGCAGTCCATTTTGAATTACGGCTTCCCAGGAAATAACCAATGTAAGCAGACTGACAGGCCCTGTGGTATGACTTAACATTGACTTGCCACTGACTAGTAAGCTGAAAGCAGTGATTATGTAGTGTAAAGTTCTCTGAATTGCTTGTTCTTTAAGGATAATTCATGTGTCTTTGTCTTACCAAGATGAGTCTTACAAGGAGCTGACTGAAAATGTTTTATACATTATAGTGACATAAAGTTGCATGAAATTAAGCTGCTGGATAAATAGCTCAATCACAGTATGAAAGCGTGTTAGTCAGCCATGGTAATGACAAAAGGAGGAGATGCCTGCTTTATTAGTGTCAGGGAGGAATGAGGCATGCTAAGGCATTCACTGTGTTGTAACTGAATTTCTCACCATTTTGTCTAAGGCATTGTCATTGCCTAGTATCAGAGTTAGCTGCATAGCCCTGATTAAATGAATGCTTGAGAAGGTGGCAGCATATAAGCTATTCCTCCATACAGTTTTAAGTGAACACTGAGCTTTGTGCAGACACAAACAGCTTTCACTGCTGATAACATTTTTATATCTTCACCATTGCTGTGAGATCGATTGGAAAACTGTATCTTACTGGCCCTTTGTGCTTTCTTGTACAACAGAAGATAAATGAAATATCTTGATTTTGCGTTTGCAATTCTAAGTGACCATATGCTTTGGTTGATAGAACTTCTTCTTAATGAGGAAGAAGAGACTGAATGGGCTATATGTAACTTTTAGCTAACTGTAACTAGTTTGGTACTGCAGCTGGCCAGTTAATTTTGTTTTGTATTGAATGGGAAGCCTGGTGCTGTTGCACCAGCCTAGCTCCTTCTCTTTGCATTATTCCCTTCATTGAGGGCTATAGGAGGCCTGAAGAGGGGCAAGACACAGCCAAATCTGTCATTCGCTCCAATCCATCTGGTACTGTGAAGGAGGGGTTTTTCTTAGGTCTGTTAAGAGTAGGGTGAACCAATAAAAGTTGCTGGACTTGGAGTATCCTCTGTGGAAAAAGAACTATATTCATTAGCTTTGCAAGTCTGGTGTATAAATGATAGCCCTATTCATTGCAAGTCTTTCAGCTGTTGCAGAGTAAAAAGTATGCTACTATTCACACTGTTCTGATGCTTAAATGTTGAAATGCCGCTTGTGTACTAAGCTGTATACAGCAATCCAAATTCTGTAATGTCTTTAAAGGACATTGTCTTTTAGTATCTGTTAAGTTCACAAATGTCTCTGAAGTAGACAAGTTACAGAGAATGTTTTAAACTCCTATGCACAAAACTGTAAAAAAAAAAGTTACTTTCTCAGAAAAAATTTAAGGTGAAATGAACTGGAGGATCTCTAGGCCTACAGCTGCATAGTGAGGTGCTAGGCATTGTCTTCTGCTTTCTCCAGGCATAGGGCTCTGGCGCAGTTTGACTTCCCAGTCAACTTGAATTTGTGTTTGATCACTGATTGCTAGAGGCAGTCCTGTACTAATTTGCTTCAATCCTGCTGTAATTTATGGCAAGCCATTTTTCCATGTTAATGGTGGAAATGTGGTATAGCATTAGATAATTGTGTTATGCACTCAGTTCAGAGTCTGATTTTACATAGCTTGCAGGCAGTTATCTGAAATATTCACTTGTTACGTATAAATGACATTACTATTCCTTCCCTTTAAGGAGAGTAATGGTCCAACAGACTCCTATGCTGCCATATCCCAAGCAGATCGACTGCAGTCAGAACCGGAGAGTATTCGTAAGTGGAGAGAAGAGCAAAAGGAGCGCCTGGAGCAACTTGGTAAGGAGGGTGTTTGTTGCAGTAGTGTTCTTGCTTGTGAGCAGCTTAGTGGTAGCTTCTTAAGCAGAATTCTCAACCATGGCTTCTGGCACTTGGGAATCTAACATGCTTCTTGAGTTTGAACAGCGAGTCTTGATGAGTCTTCCAGTAAGCAGACTTAATACTGATGTAGGAGTCAGAAAGCAAGTGGCTCTCTGAACCTTAAGAGTATTCATGTGGTCTGCCCTTTACTCACAAATAAGCTTACAGAAAAGGAACAGCTTTTATCAGCAGAAGAATAAATACTGCAGCCATCAGCACTTTTTTCAGAGGATAAAGATTGCTCATTTTGTAATTGCTGAGGCCATCTGTTGTCACACAGATCTTAATCTATTACTTAAGTAATGGACTAGTAACTAAATAAATACAGCTATGAAATGCAGTGATACTACGTGTGGACAGCTTCTAAGAAGCCTACAAACTGTCAGACTTTGCAGCTACATTAGGGAGGAGGTTTTGCCTGAAATTGTTAGGGCGGAACCTTCTGTACAATGTGATTTTGGATGGAGCTGAGCCTGTCTCTCATCTTCTGGGCTAGTTACAGCAAATGAGCTTGTTGTGAACTATAGGCTGAGTGTGAAAGCATGCTGAGTGCCAGGCTCCATCACATGGTCTAAGCACAGAGGCTTTTCTGAGCTTTGTTCTAGCACTAGCATAGCAAGGTGATTGTTTCTGTTTTTGAACAGTTGTCAGGCCAACAGACTTACTGCATCTGAATTAGTCTACAAATGCCTAACTTAAACTGAAGGACTGTGGACTGTCTCAGTTATGCAGTGCAGGCATTCTGTTTAGCTAATCCTCTGAATGTTCATGGTATTTAGAGTTCTCATGGCCTAAATCAGGAAATCTGCTAACACTTATCTGAGTAGATCAAGAAACTGTCTGCACTAGAGTGCATCCTGAGCCATCATCTGAAATATTAGCAAAAAACCAGCTGGAACAAACATGGCTGACAAATTCTTAAATCTTCAGATGCAAACTCACGAAAGCAGGAAGCAGAATGGAAAGAGAAAGCAATAAAGGAGTTGGAGGAGTGGTATGTGAGGCAAGATGAAAAGCTCCAGAAAACAAAAGCAAGCAACAGGTAAGGTTTCTCCAGCCATCTGAAGAGTTATGGTACTAGATATTAAAGTAATGGGGGAAAGAGGCTAGAATACTTCTAGTGTGTCCTAAGGCACTAGTCCTTCAGATCATTAAAATAACCTCTCCTACTAAGAAATGGGTCTCCAGTGGTAGGCTATATTTTTTTAGTTTTCTTAGAATTTAGATTAAATGTCCAGGAATAGGAAGAGAAAGCAGAATTACTGAAGATTCCTTAAGATACAAAGTTTGAACACATGGCCAGAAAAAGTTTTAGTCTACCCACTTGTTTGCATCCTACTAGCTGTACAGGTCTTCAGAGACTGTAATTACTTACCTTGAGACTAGCAGTCTTACTTGCTATCTTTAGAATACATGGAAGTGGCTTTCTGGTTAGTCTTTGCTACTAGTTATTTTATTAGATATCTTAAAAACTTTGGCTACTTCTGGAAGCATTTGGAAAATAACCTCGGTTCTGCTAGTGAAGAACTAAACTCTAACTTACATTGTGTTTGAGTTGTCTAATTATGGGCCCTGAGGCAGAAACTAATGGCTTGGCTGCTAGTCTAGTTAAGCCCCTTAGGGGTTCCCTGTGGAATTTTGACTTCAAGCTACGTAAAGGTAAATATGATAGTACTGACTTAATACCACTTAGATCTCCACTTCTGACCTAGGGTTGCCAGCATCCAGGTAATCAGGGCTGCTGTATACTTGGGGAACTCACAGAGTTCAAGATGAAGTGTTTTTTTTGACCATTTTTCTTATCGAAATGACCAGCACGCTTGCCTTGAGTAAGTAGAGAGTCCTAGGTAGACTCTGTTTCCTACTAAAGAAACAAGGGAGGCTTACACTTTCTAAAAAAAATACTATGGATTTGACACTTCCATTTACTGAGGTGCAGTATTTTGGTTGGACCAAGAAAGGGAAACAGGATTGACCCTCTTCTTAGTTGGTGACCAGAGCTCATGATACCCCCATAGTTTTATTGTGGCCAGTGTTTTAGTGCAGGGTTTGCATTCTGGAGCAGGGTCCATTTGACAAATGGAGTTAACAGGAGTGTTTGGCATTTTCATCAGCCTGGTGATATCTCTCACCTAATGGTAGTTTCTGTCCACTGGAAGTAGCCTAATGCTAACATGGGACTCTAGTCCTAAACCAGCAGGTCCCAACTTCTAGGATATAGCAGAGCTTTTTTGTTTCCCCTCTGAGTCAGTGGCTTAATTGATAGATTCCATGTGGTAGCTGCTTCCCAGTTACAGTAAGTCTAGGTGATACAAGGTTACTGTGCTTGTTAAAACTGCCTTCAACTGTGTTCTGTACTTCTCATCCTTCTCTCTTTTCTCCTGCCTGCTTGCCTGCCTGTTGGACTACTTGCTACCTAGGGTGGCAGATGAAGCTTTCTACAAACAACCCTTTGCTGACGTGATTGGTTATGTGTATGTTGCTTAACTACTAATTCTGTTTGCTAGTCAGCTAGGTAATAAGGAGGATCAGAAATAGTGCTTAATGTCTGACTTCTGAATATTTCAGGGCAGTATAAGCTAATATAAGTACTTTACTTTTTGGACTGACTGATCTGTAGTATTAAGTGCAGTTTTCCTGGAAGAATCCCATTTACTGCATGTTATACTGCAGAACATCCAGCACTTTCAGTGTAGGTCATAAAGTATACATACCACTGGAATTTTGGTAAAGACTTCTGTAGTCTTTAGATGTAGGGGTTTACAGTTGTTTCCAGGCCAGTAAACACTGCTTAGCAAGCTGCTTTGTTGGGTATGTGGGTTAGTGTCTGCAGTCTTATATGGGTGCTGTATTTAGTCCTAGGCACTTCCACAGAGAAGCAAAATGTTTAACTCTGCATTCTCAGCAATAGGCATTGAGCTCCTGATCTGTGCTCATTTGCCTACATAATAAGAAAAATATTAAACAAATGCTTGCACCTAAAGCTATGCAAGCCAAAGAAGGTGGAATGGAATCACCTGCTGTAAATCAGGGTAGAAGAGGTGCGTGCATATAGAATTAGGGTGCTATCATAGAACAGATGAAAAGTACAAGAAGGTGGTATTGGAAAAATCAGCACTAGCTGCTGGGAGAACATTTAGGTACGGCTCTGCATAGACATTTTGCCAACGTAACGGATCAATGAATACAGCCATGACTTTCAAGCCTCGATGAATGTGCTAGTTTCCACAGGGTGAAAGGATTGCAATGTTCATTGGCTTGTTCATATGTTTTAATTTCTTCCTTTAATTTGTAGACTTGAATTGAAAGATGGCTATATCACAGATTCTAAGGTGACACCTTTAGAAAGTGTATTGGTGAGCCATGTTGTGGCTTTGAGTGCATTAATATCAAAGTGGAATTCATTACCTACGTAACTGTAGGTGGATGTAAACCGAAACTTGTAAAATGATGGAGTTACAGGTGGTGTTTGACTTTTCTGAAGTCTCCTGGAGTTGATTTTGGTGGATTTTTTTTCAATAAAATCCTTATTTTCATATATCCAATGCAAATATGCAGTATAAGTGATGCAGAATAAAACTGGCAGCCTGTTTTCTGAATGTAGGCTAAGCTACTAGTGCATGTTCAGACAGCTGATCATCTGCATTAAATTCATTCTCATTTTCTATATCTGACTTTAAACTTTCTCTCCTTGTTTCTTTTTTTTTCTTCACCTTTAAGCACAAACATAAATCATCCTTGCTACAGCCTAGAACAGTTAAGTAAAAAAATCTTCACTGCCTCTTAAAACTGTCATATCACATAAAGTAGCAGTGTTGTAGTGGCCCTTGTCTTCAGTGGTGTCTGTAACCCTTATCATTCCTGTGAACAGTGCTGAACCTTCATGGGAGAGTCATCTTCATTGCTTTTTCTGTACTGCTTGTTGGCGTAGCTGGATTTGGTTTATCTCTTGATGCTTACTGCTCTTGCACTCAGGCAGCTACCAGGGTCCCACAGTTCACATAAACTGTGTGTGTGTATGTATATATATATATATATGACACATGGAGTATAACCCATGCATTGAAGCATTGCTGTTGGCAGCATAGCAATGCCAAAAGCACACAGCTGGGAAGCCCCTAGCACTAACCTGTACATAATGCACAAAGCCTCCTTAGAGTCTCCTTAGGGTGAGAGCAGGGGAAATGTGTTTATCCTGTGAGCTGACCTCAGATGAGCCATCCCCTCTGCCAAGATACGCTTTAGTCTATAGCACCCACAAGCATGGGATTTATGACTCAAATTCCTTCTGATTCATGCTGCTTCATTAGAACATTGGGAATCATCAGGAGATAGTTTTATGATGGCCTGTAGGCCTTGAGGCTGATTTAAATCCTTAAAAGTAATCTGTTTTAAGACCTGCTTGTACGTACTTGTAAATTTCCAGTTGGCAATTGTTCAATATAATCCATCAAGGGGCAGAGGCTTAACTAGTTAACACTTGAGAATTTATCTGTAAATAAAATGCCTACATAGGAGTACCTTACTTCCTGGCAGTTTGTGTGGTGACTCCCTAGGCAAAGTCTCAATAACTATTCTTAAATCCAAACACCTGTATTCCAACATTTTACACAGCAATCCTCTGCACTGCTTGTGCATAGCATACTACTGCAACCTACTTTCATCTCCAGAGTTGGGGCAGTGGGAGCTTAAGTAGCCATAATGTCCACAAGCAGTTGTCAGATCATGAAACATAAGAAACTGCATCCCATAAGAAGGAAGGAGTGCCTTATGTGTTGAGCATTAATGCAAGGTGCATTGCATTGCTTTTAGGGCAGCTGAAGAAGCCTTTGTGAATGATGCAGAAGACATTTTTCCGGGAACTGAGTGGGAACGTGTGGCTCAGCTCTGTGACTTTAATCCCAAGTCTAATAAGCAGGCAAAAGATGTGTCCCGCATGCGTTCAGTTCTCATCTCACTCAAGCAGGCTACACTGGTTCGCTGAAGGAAAGCAAAATGGAAACACTACAAATGCAATATCTTAACCTTACTCAGAGAAGCTATGTTTGCAGTAATTGGATTAATTGTTTCAGTGTTCTTTTTGGACCAAACCTCATGATGTATCTAGAGCTGATCATTGTTTGATTGCATGTTATGTTTCCTGTCTGTGTCTGAAATGGGAGAACCTCCAGAACTGTAGTCTCTGTGCTGTTGTGCACTGAGATGTCACTTCCCACATTACTGATATTAAAGATTTGTTAAACAGCAAAATGTGTTGACTTTGGATGAATTAAGCTCTTCTGCTCCCTTTTGACAGGGGGTGTTTTAATTGAGTGTGAGCAAACATTTCTCTTAATTGCTAGTGATTTCACCCTGCTGGTGACTGCCCAGCCAGCAATGCTCCTGGTCTCTGAGAGGCTGTCCTACTTGTCTTCATAAGCTTTCTTAAAGCTCTTGAGCGCTTTAGTTTAAAAACTGCTTCCCTATCCAATTTATCACACAAGATAGAAGCTCTAGGAAACTGGAGCAGCAGGCTTGTTAAGGAGCTTATCCCTCTTCTAGCAGAACTGAGGACACTGCCTTCTGCAGGTAAGCAGTTCTGTGTAGCTTTCCGCTGTCACTCCAGCCACAGATCACAGACCTAAAAATATAGTACAGGGCACTGAGTAGTTAAAGCCTTTGATATTCTACTGCATATTCTGTTCTGCTGTGTATTCAATGCTGGCTTCATACATGCAGTCCCATTGTGCAGAGGGTGTTGGGATGGTTTTGAACTTTGTCCCTTGTCCTTACTGACTCTTGCAGACACTGTCTCCCACCAGGGTGGTGGACTGGAGATTGGGAGAGCAAGAGAAAGGAAGACTTACTCTTAACTGCTGCTCATCTACTGGGTTGGAGCTCTATCTGCCAAGGTGGCTGAATTTGAAACAAACTGATCCAGAAAATCTCTGTTCTGCTTCCTTGGCTCTCTAATTTCACCCAGCATTCACAGGGGCTGTATTCTAGCCTTGCTCTGGTAAGACTTACCTCAGCTGTCTATCTTGAAGAATAGTCTGTTCAGTCTCATACATCATTTCACCATTTTTATCAAAGATATAGTAGCTTAACTAATGTGTAGCAGAGTTGCTTTAATAGCTTTTGTGTACAAGCTGGAGGGTTAATTCAGACAGTTTGAAGAGGGTTGCAGATTAAAATTTGCTAAGGTTCAAGGAGTTGCCGCATAGCAACTGTCTTGACTAGCAGCTGTGTCCCTTTGGTGAAGAAGATATTGAATAAATGGTTGCCAGCTGGGCTTCAATAGGACTGTACCTTACTGTTGTCTATAGTGACTGGAGCTACTCTCACGTTTGCAAGTGTATTCAAAAGCTACTGATGAGTGGTGATGAAAGTAGACTATAGGTCTGGAAGCTTAATTCCATGGAAGACTAAAGCAGGAAAATATTTTCAGAACTTCACAGGGATACCACAGGTGAGTTTAATAGGACTGAAGCACAGACCAAATCTGTAGAATACTGATACTCAATCCTGGCCTTGACCAATTACGCATTCACGTTGACTGAAAACTTCTACTCATCCCAAAGCTCTACAAACAAAGGCTTCTAAAATGCATTGGTAATTTAATAAAGAAAAGTCCACTGTGTTAAATATACAATGTTTAAAATGTTGATTTGAATTTACTGGAATTTGGAAGATCAGCAGATTAGAGGGGTTCCTGCACACTGAGTTATGGAACTGGTTAATCACCACACTGTCCCATCTCATAGGATTTTTTTATCTGTGCTACAAGTACACGTTTAATCTCTTGCTTCATGTGGCTGTTTACTGGTCACAGCTCGTTACCATGTGCAGAAATTTTACCTGGCTTAGGGCATGAAGTATGCATGAGGTAAAATCTTACTAGCTTTTTAAGAAGTGCAGGCTTGTGAAATTGAAATGAAGGGGACCTTTGAAAAAAATCAGGATATTTCTTCAAAATTTTACCTTAAATACAGTCTTAATGCACTTTCCAATTAAGCACAAATATAGCACTTCATTTGCATTTAAGATTTCTGCATAATGTGCTTCATGCAGAAAAAGCTGGAAGACAGTATTTGGAACGTGCAGCTAGAGAGTTACAGCAATGTTGGTCTAAGAATACCAGCAAGGTGAAAGTGGTGTGGAGATGCGTTCTTTCTTTTTAGGCTAATGGGAAAAAAAATGTGTGCGTTCAAGCATGCAGATCTTTCTTCAGTTAGCAGTAAGAGCTTAACAGTAATTTGTGGTTTGTTAAGGATACAGGCTCTGTATGAAGTCAGGAGGTTTGTGAGCCCAAAAGATTCCCTCAATTATGACAGCAGCAGAAAGAACTGGCTGTATGATTAGTCTTCTCATTGTCTTGCTCAATCTGAAAAAAGTCGTCTTTGTCTGATTTTATACCAAACTGCAGTGTACAAGCAGTGGGTTGTTTGGGCACCACAGCAAAGTAAACAGTTTTATCTTGTTTTGTGTGAACTTGCTGAAAGAACCAACCCAGAAGTGCTACAACTGTATGTGCAAACTTAAGGCTTAAGAACTTGCCTTTCTGTGTCTTCTTCAGCATCTCATGAGCACTTTTAGTTGTTACTAAAACACAGTGTGTCCACAGTGCAAAATCTGCTTTCAGATTATGAAATAAACATAGCTTGGTGCTGGACTAAAACAACTCTACTGAATACATGGCTTTAGCACTTGCACTTCAGCTGACAAAGCACTAATTCTAATGTGCTTTTGCTAAACCATTTTCCAAACTATTATCTCAAATGGTTCAAGGGCTGTACAATCCAGGTGTTCTACCTTTACTAATGCCTGTAAATGCTCTACAGCATTTGTAAAGGGACATAGAGATCAGATTTCACTGATGCAGATTAAATAGAGTATAAACTCCGTCTGCACTTTACTTCCTCTCATGTGTTTCCGTGACAGAAACTTGACAGTGCCTCTGTTGGTAGTATGTCCTTCTGACAGTTTTGATACACTTAAGTGGAGGAAGGACAGTGCTTCCCAGAATGGCTGAGGCATTTGTTTGCTCTGAGCAGCTGGATGGCAGATCAAAGACTTCTTAAAATACTGAACAACTAAACTTGCTGCTCAGAAGACCAAAAAGAAATTCCAAACCTCAATATTGTACTGATCAGCTACATGGATTGCAAAGCATCAGCAATGATCTGTAAAAAATAGTTAGCAAAACTCAACTGGTCTCCTAGTGGTCCCAAGTCCTGCCTGGGTGGGCTTCTGTGCTTAGGCTGAGCTATTGTGGACAAACCATCTTTTCACCAGATGCAAGGATGAGGAGCAATGCAGTATAGGTACTGACAGAGGTCTTACATTGGTTACATAAATTATTATAAGCTACAGCACTAAGAACTCCAGTTTTAAGTCACCTTCCAACCTTTTAGCACTCTGCAGTTCTAAGTACTGCTGGTACTTGCTTCTGCAATGCTAATTATAAACATGCGTGCCCATGAGGGTCTCCTGCCTGAACTTGAGTGTCACATGCAATTCTGCTTAGCAACCTGGACAGTGGCATTCTTGTTAAGACTTCAGCAGAATTGCAATAATGTACGTGCTTAGCAGGGACACTGTAAAACCAAACCTCTTTCTACAACAGGTACTATTAGCAGATGCTGCCAATGCAGGTAACAAAAAGGCACTACTGCTTTAGGCTCTGAAATGCTGATAATAGCTGGAGAAAAAGAGTTCAGCTGTTGTCTTGTGCTTTTGTCTCCTTTCTTCCCTCCCAGTAATGGATATAAAGGCTGGTTTGCCCTCACTGGAGCTCACGACTTTCATGGTATGGGCTGCTCTAAAGGACACAGGACCAGCATCAAGTAACAAGACACATGTTCTGTGAAGAGCTGATGTTCACTGCCCCTGGAATTACATACAATTGTCCGTAAAACCTCTCGTCCACCATAACGTGCCTGAAGTGCAAAGGAGGTTTCTGAACAGGGAAGGAGAAACAAACAAAATCACTATTATGAGTTTTTTATTCTTTTTGATTTTTATAAACCCACAAATGTCTCAGGAAAAACTGCAAGGGCTTCTGCACCTCTTACATATATGCAGCAGCTTCTCAGACAGTTGACAGAAAAAACATTTTCTTAAGAGGACTAGATGTTAAAGGTGTTCAGAGTAAAACTTTACAAATGTGCTCTAGTCTTTCATGTTTTCTCTATGCCTGCACCTTCTCTTCAGCTGGTAGGGAAAAACATATCTGGAGTCCAAGATATCTAAAATATCCTAGCTTCAGGAAAGGAAAGGAAAGGTCTGGAAAGGAAAAGCCTGGTCCCATTTTTAGTCAGGCATTCCTTGTGATACTGGAGGATGAAAAGATCAAATGACAGTGCTTGTCTCTGTTGGAAGCTCAATATTGTTACTCTTGAGCTGCTATCACCACAGAAGACAGCTGATTTCTCCTTGACCTGCTCATGGAGGAAAGCTCATTTCTTAAGCTTGGACCTGCTTGACCGCTCTGCTATTGAAGTTACTTGGAATCACCAAGTAAACCAAGACACATAGGAAAAGAAACTAAGAACCCCCGGTGACATAAAGCCTCCTACAACTCTGCAAATGGTTAAGAGCTAGTATTTGCCGATTCTGAGAAAAACTGTGGTACAGAGGCTGCAAAATTATTCCTGGAGACATCAAGAAGGAGATTGGGTGCTATTTCTAAAGTCTGCTATGAAGATGTGAGTTCTCTGCAAGCATTCCTTGTGGAATAGAGGATGAAGTGGAAACAACTTGTGTAGATTATATCCCAAAATTAGCCCATAGTGTGGTTCACTATACTAGCAGCTATTCAATCCAAGATTATTGTACGGCAGAGGAAAGTGGTTGCAGAACATTGTTATTTTGTTTGGAGAAGGAGTCAGTGTAGAAATAGCCCCTTTAATTCCCCTGTATATTACTGGGCTTCTGAGAATATAATCAGTGGTGGCTGAGTTAGATGTCAAAATAGGCCATGAAGTGCAAGTGCAGGACAGGAGATGGTCTTGTCATTGTTATTGTTCCTCTACAGGTATCTTCTGTCTGGGACAGCTGATCTGATGGGTCTGTTTTTGTGTTTCTCCTTGTGTCAAATAGTTGTCATTACTGCAGTATCTTGAAAGTGTGCTAAAAAGCAGCTGGATAAAGACAGCTGTGTATCATTAAGACCTAGTTAAAGAAACATACACCATGGTTTACCTAGGCAAGTCTTCACTGGTATTGGGCACACTTTGCTCCTAGGCTTCTGACTGTCTTGAAGGTGAGGACAAGGCTTAGATTTGACTTTCAATCGTGTGAGCTGATGGTGAATGCAGGACAAGAACAGTGTACCTGCAGTCACCAGAACTGCTGAGGAGATGCACTATGTCACTCTGCAGTGGAAGAGATTTCTTGCAAGGTAAAGTCTTTATGCTCGGGTGTGCCACATAGTTGAATTTCAGATGAGTATCAAATAGAGAGTCCCCTCTCTGCTACTTTGTCAGAGAAAGCTTTGAGTAGCCTTAAGTGCCGCCCCAGGAATACAATTCAAAAATTGACTGTTGGCCATAGCCAGAAGACAGAGATGCTCACTGCTACTTGTTGGTATGTCTGGGCTGCTCTGCAGACTGTAAGCCCACTAGACCATGATCATATGCAAAGCTTCTAAAATGGAACTCTGCCTTCTAAAAATTATGTAATAACTGCCTCCACCAAGTCCTCCATGAACCACAATTTGTAAATGCAGCCTTTTTGATTGTAGAGGCAACTTCCCTTGTTTCCACCCACTGAAATGACTACCTGCTATTGGCGATTACATCATATTTACTTTGTGGGTGGAAGCCTGTAAACTGAAAAGCTGGTCACATTGTAGACCTCTCATTTCACATGGGTGGGAAATGAGATACGGATCCCCAAATATTAGTTCTAATTTGACACAACATATGCATATTCCCCACTATACATCAAGATATGCTCATAAATAATTCAGCTGCCCTTAAAAACAACATACGGGCTTACCAACAGTGGTGATTAAAAACAACAGAGTTGCACATTAGTTCCTATGAAGTGAGATGAAATTTAGCAAAAATACAAAAAGATAACAGCTCAATTAGAAAATGCTGAAGTAGTCACTAACTGTTCAGAACACTACTCTGATTCAGTAGCTGCTTTCATCAAAGAAAAACTTTGGGCAAAGTATTCCCTCCACCCACTAGGAATCTGAATTTCTACAATTCTTCCAGGTACCTAGGATATTCTACGTGTAGTATAATCCAGTACCAAGCTAGCAGCTCCAAGAAGAGCAGGATCTGCTAGATTTGAGACCACCACATCCACAGTTTTAACAGAGGACAGAGCCTGTCTATTTATCACATCTTTGACAGCATTAACATAGTGGCTAGCTAGAACTCCAGAAAGGATCACAAGAGAGGGGTTCATGGTGTGCAGAATGTTCACAACTCCAAGGCCTAATGCTGTCCCAGCTGTGAAAAGATAAAATAAAAAGAAATCAGGTAGAATACTCAAAGCAGTCCCAGCATCAGATGTTGAAAAAGGTCTGTTTGCAGGAAATTACAATCTCAGGGAAGTGTTTTATTCCATATGACAGACAGGTTTGAGTTTATGTTATCAGACAATATGAGTTTGCCATTAATTTTTCTTTCAAAAGTAAAAGAAAAAAAAGGCAATTTTATAGCACAATAATGCATTATCCAGTGATACAGATATGAAATACAAAGCAATGCATTACCCCTCTTGTAAGGTAAGAGAAAAGCATTATAAGAGAAAGAGGTCTGTGTTTAAAGCTAGCAAAACAGTAAAATATCACATGTAAAGTAATATGTAAATTGCATTTGCTTGCTCTGACTAGCCATTCACTTGCCTACAATGAAATGTCACCAAATTTTCCAATATGAGAAGACTGAGACCTCACTTTTTTTAAAGCTGACCTTTGCAGAAACTTTTCATGTTCTCATTTTTTGGAACAGAGACTTCTAATACACACTTCTGTTCACATTTCCTCTAACATTGATATTTAACATTTCATTATGATTAGTAACTTAATATAGGGAGGTCTCCATTGTGTAGAGTTGTGTTTTTAGTGTTACAGTGCATTACCATTTCTGTGTCCCCAAAAATTCAATCATGGGAGGGTTCCATACTTTGGCCTATGTTCTCACCTGTTCTGAGAATGCTGTCTGCCTTTGTGTTCCCAAGTTTAGCTGCTTGAATGAGATGTGCAGCACTAACAACCTCCTCCTTCTTCACTGACATTCCTTCTACTAAAAGGAGATCCTCTGTTTGAAGAGCAGGAGAGAAAGCCAAGAGCAAAACACAGTGATGTGTTAAGAAATGGAAGGTGACAAACAGGCAGTTAAGATCTTTACATCTCTTTTACTTGTACAGTGAAGCCTGAATCCTGAGCAATTTGTCTAGCCTCAAGTTCAGCCAAAGTGGTCATGTCCTTATTATTCAGGGAACTGCTTGTAGAAGCAGGACATCAAACTCAAACACATATACTACTGTAATTCACTAGTCTTGTCAGCGCCAAAAGTTAATAAAATAAAATACAAATGTTCTCAAACTTATCTAAGACTGAGAAGCATTGCTGGAAGACAACCACCGTGAAACCAAACCTCACAGAATGCCTGTCAGATTACCTTACAACATTCTTAAAAAGGAGAGACAATTCTACTACGTGCTTCTGGTAATTTTGAGACAAGTGGTTCCAAATGGGGCTTGCCTGGTTGTTGCCATCATTGAAGAAGAATTGTATTGTACTATGCAGGTTGTGGCAGCTCCTGGCTTGGCCATATATAGGAATCCTATCTGGTTGCATGTACACCTACACTCATTTCCTAGAAAAAGATGGCATGTCTATTTTTCGTAATATTCTCTTTGCAATTTAGTAATAATGTTTTCAAAAATAAAAGTACATAGATACCATCATGCAGTTTTTTAGCTTCCCTCTGTAAGGCTATTCCAGAGGCATATGCTTCTATACATCCTTGGCTACCACACAGGCACTCTGGTCCATCTAAAGATACAACAATATGCCCAAGCTCAGCAGCACAGAAAGAACTGCCATGGATCAATTCATGTTGATGAATGATTCCACCTCCAATTCCTGCAAAGATATGAAAACTTCTACAATTAGAAAAAAAAGAGATAAAAACTGTATCTTAAAGGCCCCAATTCTGCAGGACATTGACATTTGCTTATTCTAACACAGACAAGATATAATATGTGCATCAGTGGTCTATACTGGAAACCAAAAATTACTAGTAATTGAAGAACTCTTCTCTGTTCAACACACATAATTAGCAAGCTTATAGCTCCCTCCTATTCATATATGTATCAAAATGGTATATATTCTCCTTCTCTTAAAAAGCCTGTGGGGGGTACTGAACTACTATGACAGATCTTTTAAGCTTGTGAGTCATGCTCTTTATGCACAAAACTAACCTTTCAAGTGGCATTAAAATTTTGCATTTCAGAGGAGATGTTTTAATGCTGTATTTAGACAGCTATATCTGTGTACTAAAGAGCCAGGACACTTAAATCTGTAATTCTCTGCTGCCCTTTCCCAAACCCTGAGTGAGGACTCATCAGCTAGTTATTAGTGCCACTGTTTTAAAGGACTATATATTTAGCAAAGGAGAAAAGTTACCCCACATTTGCTTTTGAGATATAATAAGCAACTGAATATGAGAGATGATGATGCTTATCTTCTCGATATGTATCCTGTCTGACTTGTATTTCTGCAGCTGGAAGAGAATTAAGCTATAAAGCTGAAAAAACCAAAATTATTCCAGCTACAGTTGCTCAGATGGTCCTTATTTTGAAAAAAATGGTTTGCCTGCATAGCTGTATCAGCAGAACTTCTTTCATCAAGAAGCTTATACTATGCAAAAGGTTTCATTTTACTGAATAAATTAAAAAGTACCCCAAAAGAAACAAATAGCTACAGTGCAAAAGGATTTTCTCTTTAAGAACCTAATATATTGGAGTTTTGCAGGCACACCATTGGTGTTTATGCTTTTACAATCAGCTGAGCCTCTGAATGATAGTGCTGGTATGTTGACTTTGGGTTTCATTGAACTATAACATACCCACCTGTACCAGTAATGAGTGTTACAAAGTTTTCTATTCCTTTTCCATGACCAAATTTCCTCTCTGCTAGAGCAGCACAGTTTCCATCATTGTCCACCCAGACTGGCAGGTGCAGAGCATCAGATATTGGAGTTCTGAGATCCACAGAGCTCCACTCCTGAATGAGTTTTGTAGAGTGAAGCACAATTCCTTCTCGGGGGTTTACCCGTCCACCTGTGGAAATACCTAAGTCCCAGAAACACAGGGGAGAAAAATCAAAACTAAGTCTGTGTAATACTTTAAGTAAAAGATCTGGTTTTCTCCTCACAATGACAAATATTTTTATTTCTAATAGTATGCTTTGAACCACAGTGTGAAAGTAAAATTTTCTAAGTATTACTGGCAGTGCAATTTCTGACAAAGATAATTTCTACAACTCCATTGCTCTAATCACAATGCACCCAGTATGTTAAGACTAACTAGATTGGTAATGGTCCGTGTTAGTCAGACAGTTTATGTTCCTACTTCAGGCAAGATGGCAGCAAATCATTTAGTATTTGTGTTTCCTTTTAGTCATATATGAAAGACATAAAATAGCTGACTGTACAAAATAAATTGTTCAAACCCTGGAACAGTACAAGTGTCCTGAAATTTGCTGTAACTCTCAAGATAAAGCATGACTAATCACTGGACTTTGAGTAGTAATTTCTACTTAAAAATACACTGTTTTCCAGGAAAATCAAGACTGTGTTCAGAGATTTGTCTACTGGACAGAATAATGGCTAATAATAGGCACTATTAGCCAAACCAGTTTTCTCTAGCTGGAGAGGCTTCCAAAGTTGATGGACTCTGTCAGGACCTCTGAAAAGTAAGCCACTCTATTATGGAGGTATTTAGCTCTAGACAACAAAGTCTGAACATTTATCTACTATTCTTGTACAGAGATTATATAATTATGTCACTTATCTAAGGATGTTAAGAAAAGAAAGAGTCCCAGGGTTAATATTGTAATAGAACGCTGCACAAAAGCTACAAGACAAGCAGCCTAATTGAATATTAAAGCTGTAAGACTCCCAAAAATCTCACTTTTTAAGGAACAAATAATCTGAGAACCTGTCAGAAAGTATCTAACAGAAATTACATTCCCAATGTCAATGTCTGAAAGTCTCCCTAAGATTTTAAGAACCAAATGTTTATTACAACAAAACCTTATTTAATATTTAGTTGCTAACTCAACAATAGCTTAGTAAAACATGTCTACTTTTTCTAAATGCCATAATTCTGTAATTGATGTAAATGATTATGGGAATTAGCAGAAGCTATCTCTTCATCCCCTTTTCTCTACTATCAACTCCAAAAAGATAACTTAAATACTGCCTAATAGCAGTAAATAGATAGCTCTCACAAGTATCTCTATGCAACATTTGTGTATAGATCTGAGTCTCCTTTGGTTCAAAATTTGTGTTTTGTAAAAGTAAAAAAAAACTTCAGAAACAGCTGCTAGTGTTCTTTGGGCCTGTTAAAGTTTTACTTTTCTCTCATTTTCAAAAAGCTTGTTTTAATATAAATACTTTGTTTTGAGTGGAAAAAAGCCAGCAAAAATAACAAGTTTGAAACTAACTGCAGAGCTGTTGCAATCTAGAATTATATGATCATCAAGACAAAAAGATACTGGAAAAAAATAAATCATAATTTTCAGAGTCCTCTGCAAACCTGTTTTGTATTTGTGGGAGTTCTTCAATTGAAATTATGTACACATAACTAGTATATTGAGTGCTGACAGCAGTTTATAGGTCTAAAAGGAGGAAACCACTTTTTTTCCATTTCTTTCTATCAGTAGCTCTCTCTCATTATTCACTTCCAAGGGTTATTACTTTTACCCTTACCTACAATAGCTGGAAGAAGGCCAGTGTTACTGATAAAAAGTCCATGATTAAGCTGGGAGAAGGCCAGTGTTACTGATAAAAAGTCCATGATTAAGTCCAGCCCTTCTGCTCAGTCTCGCAACCAAAGTTATAGGAACTCTCCATCTTTATAGCCTTAAGGAAATGACTAGAATCTAATACATTAATTATTCCAATGGAATATATATGTAATTCTCTAAAAAGAACTTTCAATTTCAGCTAGTATTCTGATTCAAACTATGAGTCTGAATGAGGCAGAGAGCAGCTAATAAAAATAGCCAGGTAAGAAATTTCTTGTTCTGTAGCACAACTTTTCCCCTTATTACTCAATAATTAAACAGTAAGCAGTCACAGAAGGAAGGGGGCTGAAGAACAAATAGGAATGTAATTCTTGTAAAATGTCAAACAAAGGTTTTCCGCATATATAAACCTCCGTAAACCAGTAGCACCTAAAAACTGTTCTTAGATGCGTGAAATAGTGACTACTGCAGAGTTTCCCATCTTTTCTACAGGAACTTGTAAGCTTTCAAGATTTAGCATTTGGACAGAAAATAATCTGGGTGGTGTATTAACCAACAGATAGACCTTCAAATCAAATCTTTCACACTGACTTATTTCTTCTTACAGCTTTGTGTACTTAACACTTGTTTTAAAAAATACTTCTAAAAGGAGCTGAAATTAACTTTTCTTCCTACTGTGCAATTCAAGTAAGTTTTGGTCTGGAGCAAGCTGCTTTTCTTTTTGGAGCATTTGTCAGCTAAAATGAGGATTTTATGTCCTCCTTAAAAATCCAGGACACATTAATTGACAGCTTCATAAATAACTGTAGTATCTAAGCTCCCAGTCATCATTAAACTGAAGAAGTCTTGTCTGCTATAAACAGACAGTTTATCTGGGAACTCTACTACAGTGTAAGTAAACCAGACATCAACAAAAAAGCTGCTTTTGTCTCTGTTAGCTGCAAATTCAATCTAACTTTTTAGCTTTTTCAGTCTGTGTTTTCAGTGTAACTGAGGATTCTGCTGCACAGTTGATCCTGGCTGTAAAGTAAGGCTTACAGACAGTACAGGAAAGGTGACTCAGCTGCAGTTGTTTCAACAAGAGGTGTTTCAATATACACTAAGCATCTGACTCACAATTCTGAGACTGCAGGGAGCTTTAAAATTCACAAATTCTATATATCACACATTTTACATATAGTTTTAGATTAACTTAGCAGCTTGCTCTCATGGCTGTTACATACTGGGGCAACTTCAGGTTTTTATAGTCAGCTTCTCATTTTCACAATTTGAAAAGTTTTTGTGTTAAGATTATAATATATGAACTCAAAATACAAAAGATGTGTTTTAGAAAGGTATTTTAAATTAATCAGTAATGATTTGATTTGATGTTGAAAAACTTAGATGAAAAGACAAATTTAGTAATTGTTAACTTACCCACTCCCAAAATTCTGCAGTTTACGTTTACTGCCTCTGATGCAGCCTCTACACACATCTTTAGAATTAATTCTAGTCTGTCTTCATAAGTTTTAGGGTTGAGCTGGGTATACTTCTTAACTATTTCACCCTAGAAATTAAAAACAACAAAACATGCCCCACATAAGTGTCCATGATGAAATTTCTCTTCTGTTTAAACTACAGGTCAACTAGAGAGTCATAACTTGTCTCTTTTAAAAAAAATACAGATGTGTGCCTTAGATCTTGGTCCTACAGGCTGTTCTGTGCAAGATTCCTGACAACTCTGAGGGGCAGATTTGCAAGATTAGGCGTTACATTCTGCTTCTGTAATCAACCTCCCCTGTCTGAAGTAAAATACTTATTTTAAGGAGCACATGGATTGTATAAGGAAATATCACAGGAGCTACTGTAACTGTTGTTACGATTAAACCATGGCAACAGCAATGAACTTAAGCTCAATACTATAAAGTGTTAAAAGAAGTAAGAGAGTAGCAATTGGTAAAAAGGAAAGAAACCCCATAGTGCTTGAAGAATAAAATGTTTCCAACTTAACTACCTGGAAGTTTTGCATGGTGTCAAAGACACTGCTGTTTTACTGTCAGGAGGAGAGTCAGCCAGACAGAAATGCTAGAAATTTAAATGCAAAATTTACTATCCTTTCAGAAATAACTTCTCTTCTATGCAATTATACAAAAATATATTTCTGGAGTACCATCTACTATGATGTATGTTGCACAGAAGAGGGAGGGTCCAGGACAAAGGGATTACTTTCAACCCTAGGAGTCATGCAGTGGTAATGAAAGCATTCATTATGCAAGCCTGAATCTGTGGGTACTAAGGAACTAATCTTAATGTAATGTTAATATTTCCTAATTAAGGATTAGGCCAGAAAACTGCAGAAGACATGCTGCTCTAGTGTTGTTATTTTTCCTGTTATATGTTGTAGAGTACCAGGGATATCTAAGTGAACAATATATCTAAGCGAAAAGCAGTGTATTAATACAACTAAACAACAACGAGTAAGAAATAGTTTATATGCAACATGGCTGAGTCATTGTTGGCAAAGTAACTTAGAAAATTCCAAGATGTCAATGATTTGGGTATTAAATCCCACCATCTCAGCATCACATCAGCAATAGGGTTTGGGATTTTTATGATGTTTAGTCTCCTCTTTGCTTTTGGTTTAGAGATAAAGGGGAACGAGAGGAAGTTATGTTGGAAGACAAAGCTGCAGCAAACATTATCAGAAGACACAACAGCTTTTAAAAGGAACTTTTGAAAATTCAGCTATTTTCTTAATGAAAACTACACATTCAACCCTGCCATTTCTTGTTAAATGCTTACATCTGTTGTATAAATTTTATTAGGGAAGTCTGATCCTTTTCATTCTGACTTGCTAACATTTCAATTTTCATAAATGCCACCTCAAAAGATACAATCTGCAAAATGGACAGGATTTTAAAAAAATTAATCTTCTTCTGTCTGTGTTGGCAGACAATGCAGTGTCAATTTTACTATCTATCTATATACTCTTGAAAGTTTTATTTAAGACCTTAAAAATCTGCCAGACATCTCCTTTTAAATGAATGTAAAAATTCTGGACCGTATCAAGTCAATTTACTTAGCCTTTCATCTCTCTGCTGGCAATTTACTTTTTTTTCTGCGTAACTATGTCTAACTGATCTAGTTATCTGGAAGTATGAAGTGTAAGTGTAGGAGTCAGTGTCCAATTCCGAATAAAAGCCAAAGACTTCCGAAACTGAATTTTATTCACAGCTTTAAAGTCCTGCAGATTTGTGTATTTTTACGCTTTCCCCCACCCCAAATAAGAAGATGGGTATCCAAATGAGTTAAAATTATTCAGTCCTAACTATCCCTTCATTTATCAATGTGGATAAGATTTATTTCAAATATTTTTACACCATCACCAACTAATTTTTATCCCATGAACCTGAAGCTCCCAAGTTTAAATAGAAATTTTGTATTTTTTTTATTGATGTGGATAATGAGCTGGTAGTCACAGGTGTATTTACTTGTTTCACTACACAATGCCTTTGCAAGTGATCTGCCACTACACTGATACTGATGCCATTTCAGTAGCCTCACTTGCTGTTTTTTAAGACTTCAGTTTTTGTTATGTTTGCCAAGTATGAACTTTCATATTTTTAAATTAGCTGCCTAACATTTGTAATATGTTGTCTATGACTGGCAGAGCTATGCAAGCAATGCATACTTATTAGCGCTATGACACAGGCAAAGGAAAGCTTCCTACTGTGCCATTACCAGAGAAACAGGTTGAGGAACTTCTAAGCATGGAGACCATTAAATCACACAGTATCCCTAAACCTGAACATCTCTCCATACAAGGCTGTAACTTCAATCCTATTTCAAATAGGTTACTTTTACAGGAAGAGAAGTACTTCAGGCTCAAAACTCAGTCTTTAAAGTCTTTATGAACTCTAGTGTATGCATCAAGTTCTGCTTACTTTGATGATGGTATTAAACCGTCAAGCACCTCTTTACATATATACTGGAGAAAAGATGGCTCCGAGGAGACCTAATAGCAGCCTACCAGTACCTGAAGGGGGCTACAGGAGAGATGGGGAGGCACTTTATCAGGGAGTGTACTGACAGGACAAGGGGCAACAGTTTATAAACTCAAAGAGAGCAGATTTAGATGAGATATTAGGAAGAAATTTTTCACTGTGAGGGTGGTGAGACACTGGAACAAGTTGCCCAGGGAAGCTGTGGATGCCCTATCCCTGGAGGTGTTCAAGACCAGGCTGGATGAGGCTTTGAGCAACCTGGGCTAGTGGAGGGTGTTCCTGCCCATGGCAGGAGGGTTGGAACTTGAGGATCGTTGAGGTCCTTTCCAACCCAAACCATTCTATGATTCTATCAAAGGACAGAGTCAACACAATTAAAACAAAACAAAAACAATTTTAGATGACCGTCATGCAACTCAAATCTGCCAGCCCTTTCCAATGCAAGATCAACGAACTATAATTCAGATGGTTTTAAGAGACCTTTTTAAACCATTTCCTACTGTTTCAGCAATGAAGACACCATACCCTTCCAGACTATCTATTCCAGCCTTCTCTTGCATTGACAGCTAAGCTGGATGATAAGAAAAAATTTAAAATAATTTTTCCTTCAGCTCTTTTAATAATATACTACTTCTTCATGCACAAATGATGATTTTTCTCTTCAGGGAAAAGGCTTCTACATATCTGAAGGCTTCCCCACATCTGCCCCCAGTCAGTTTCTCCTCTAAACTAAACAATTTTAGTTTCTTCAACTTCCCTGTTTTTCATGTCTGTAATAATTATTGTTTTTCTCCTGATTCTCTCTCCAACTGATCTACATCTCTGTGGTGAGATGCATTACAGTGAACACTGTTCCAGCTGAGGCTCTGTACTGCCTTACTGATTATGCTTCTATGCAGGAAGACACTGAGAATTTTTGATTACTGGCTGTTCTTCTCTTGGTAGAAGAGATGCAAAATTCCACAACCTGAACCCACCCACCATGAACCCAGCACTCTCAGTGAACCCAGTAAATTGCTTTGCTGAATGCTGGTTATTGCTCAAAATGGTTCTGTATGTCCATTACATGGCTGTGTAAGGCAGCAGGGAAGTAAAAAGGCTGCTCTCGGAGCCTTTCCCTTTTTTGCTTGACATATAAAAAGTTGCAAGGATGAACAGAGTCACCTTTTATGGGCAACCAACACATCTAAAAATTGTCCTGCTCTTCAAGGTCTCTATGACTTCCCAGAGAGAGGGGGCAGCAAGGACCATGCACCAGCAAATGGGCTTTGCTAGATTTAACAGCAGCCCTAGAAAAACAAACTAGCAGGCAAGTTGTATGGAGACTGTATGAGGTGCAACAAATGAAGGAAAGTCTACTTTACCCCTCAACAGCAAAAGCCAGTAGGACTGCTTTGTTTTGGAGCAGTTTTGCATCATAAACCCATATCCCCACTGTAGCAAAAAAATCCCACAAAGCCCAATGGAGTTTGCAGAACATCTAAAAGCACAACAGAATATTTACCTTCATACTGACAATTGCTACTCGGAGATTTGTTCCACCTAGATCCACAGCCAGAGCACTCTGTGTCTCCAGAATATGGTCAATATCTTGAGAGATATTATCTTTTACAGGAGGAAAACAGAATTTCTTTTGCAATGGCTCTTTGAGGTCAATAGATTTGAGGAACTTCAAAATCCTTGGAACAGCATTACCATCTCCATATATTTTTGAGCTATAATATTAAATAAAAAAATCAATTTAATTGGAAATAACACCGCAATAACATTCTTTATATGACAGAAGGCTGTAACACTGTCATTACAAAATTATGGTATGGCTACTATGACAATACTGCAACTCACACTACTCAAGTCTGTCATCAGATACAGTAGGTAGTGTCAGTAGTTTGAAGATCACACAATAGATTGTGCAAGTTGGGTATTAGCTCCAGTTTGGAATACCAAACATGGAACATAGAAAATGGGAAAGCTAATGATGCCAAAAAAAAATTTAAGAATTTAATGAAGGGACCCAAATAATAAAGCTCTATAATCATGGGAAGTTTATGTATGTGCTACATGCCCAGACAAGATATACTTATCACACAGATAAGAACTATGTAAGAATAAACAGAACATTCATGTCAGTTTGGAACATATAACTCCGGTTTTAAAATATCATCATAAACAGTGTCAGGCATTTGGTACTACAGAATTCAGTTTCATTACTCTATTGAGGTTCTTAAGAAATATACTTTTGATTCTTGTCATTAATTAGATAAATATTATGTCTTGAAGTTATAACAACTTTACACTATAGAACTGAGGGTAAATACTGTATGGCTGAACAATAATGTAAAGCATCTTGCTATAATCTTGCAGCTCCCCTGGAAGCTTGCACTCAGGACTCTCTCCATGGATCACGCCTGAGGTCAATCCAGCTATAAAGTAGCATGTCCTTCATGCACAAATCAGAGGTAGACAGAAAGGATGTTCTCCCCTATGCTGCTCCTATGGAACAAGCTCTCTTAATCATGCTAGTTTAAGCTAACATATGAATTTTGTCCTCTTGACTTTCTATAGGATGTTGAAGTCCTAGTTGTATCAAAACATTACTAGTACCATTTCGCTCTACAAATACTAATCTGCATACCAGACATTGCACTGTGATTCAGAATGAGGCATGTGAAATGAAAAATAACTTGTAACCTGAGATTAGTGCATTAATAGCACTCCAATCGAATATGATGAACCATCTCAGTAGTGAATGGCTTTTAATCTACTGCTTTAACATCCTCTCTGATGAAGCAAGATGAATGTACTTACCATGGATACTGTTTACCAAACTGCAGCTGTAGGGCATGCAGAATCTTATCCTGTGTATCTGCATCACGAACATGAAGAACATTTTCACCTAGATGACAAAAGTTAACATTATACGACAGCTCAGCTCCTCAAATTGCATTAGAGGATAAGAACTGCTTTAGAAATAAAGAAATAATTATTTTTGTTTCCTCTGAGCAGGAAAGACTCCAGCCAGATCGACATTGTTCTTCATCAGTTACAGGCCTCCCCTTGCTCCCAATAGAGCAATGGTGACTCCTATGATACGCTGTCATGCATTATAAAATACTAGAAAGTAGAAGATTAGCCTTCAACGGAATTTTATTATTAAATTCAAAATACACAAATGAAAACAGAGGGCAAATGGATATTTGTGTCATATCTGCATATTTGTGAAATACCACAATACAGTTACTTCCTGAAGTGGTGAAGAGTTCATGTTTTTTAAAGTGAAATTTTAATACATGTCAAACATGAAACTAGCTATAAAGGAAAACAATTAGTTGCCTGTTCTGCTAAATGGAAGCCACTGCAAATGGAGATATATTTGAACTTACGTATAGATAAAAACCTCATTATCTTACATAAAACACACAAGCAAGCACTAACATGATACAGGAATAGCCAGCAAAGCTTTAAAATGGGTCACAAAATATGTTGCACTGATACTGCAAGATGACCTCTGTCAAGCATTCATCTGACTTTATTATGGAACAATAAAACCTCAGAACCATGAGGAAATTAAAGTGGTTAAGCAAACGTACCTGTTTCTCTTCCTGTCTGACGTGTCCCCAGGTTGATGACAGGTGTACCAAATGCTCCCACTTCTCTGACACCACAACTGCTGTTACCAATCATACAACCAGCATGAGCAACTAGCTGAATGAACTGATCAAAAGGGACATGCTTTACTGCCCGAAAATTGGGATGATGTTCAATGCCCTTCTTCCTCATCACCCGAACCATCTCTTTGCTTCCTAGAGAAAAACAAGAGGTAGAATAAATTATTCAAGTTATATTGTTAAATTGAAAGTCCAAACATGTAAAGGAGTTAATAGCTGTTCACTGAGTTGCCAACCTCTTGAGTTGTTTTTGTTCTCTTTTTATCCTCACAATGTAAGTTGCAGAGCTGGGCATGTAAGCCCAACTTCAATCCCAAAATCCAGTGCAAAAATTTTTTGTAGTTTTTAGTTAAAGAGGCAGTAATACTGCTTCTACATGTCACATGGTTTCCCTTCATCTTCCTCCCCACACTGAAAAGCTGAATGTCCTCCAGCAATGTGAACATGGAGCTGCAGCAGATGCACACCTGATGCTGAGACCATCCAGCTATTTCCGCCTGGCAGGAAGTTCTCAGATAAAATCACTCCGTAAGAACCAATGTATGCTTTAAAGACAATCTGTTCTGTGTTCCTCTGTCACAAAGGTATTTTACTCACCTGCATCCACATTAGGGAACAGAACAAGTGTTCTTTTGTTGAAGGAGATGAGTGCATCTAGCGTCAGCTCAAACATCTTTATGGAATGTTTAATATCTGTGGTTACAGGATGTTGCAGAGCAACTATATAATCTCTGGTTTTGACATCTTCACCTGTCCAAATGGAGCCCAAGAAAAATTTTGTTATTGTCAAAGAATAGTAAGGGGAAGGGAGGACATACTTTTGAAACTACCAATGTGAAAGCCTGAACAGTTAAGGCACTTAGGGAGTATCTGACACATAAATTTCAATGCTACAATAAAACTCAAGGGAGTACCAGGATCCACCTTGTTATTTGCCTCTCTAAGCAAGCCTTGTAACTTCAGAGACCACTGCCTAAACGCAACAAACTGTAAACTTGCAGGCCTACATCTAAAGTTTTGCAAAACTATACCAGAGTCCACAGTGTTCTCACACCAATGTAAATCTGGAGTAACATGAAAGCCCTGAAGCTGCTTAGGTTTTCTGTCAGTTCTCCATCCTCAAGCAAAGACTTCATTCCTCTTGCTTTAAAAGAGTCAGTCATACTTGTTTTAGTGCATTTGATAAAGAAGTTTATCTGCAAAATATTCACCTACTGATCAAAGAAGAGTCCAGCTTCCAACTACACAGGTTAATGTGCCATATAGGAGATTGCTTTGTCAAAGATGAAAATACAAAACCCCATTGTTTGTAGGAATGATTTCTAAGAAAATGAATATGAAACATATTCAGAATATTTTGGCACATGTTACCCTGGGACAGTGCGTTCCTCAAAAGAATGTCTGCATTATAAATTCCCTTTGATTTTTTTAGATTAGCCCTGAACAGCTTTGATTCTTTTTAAATACATCCTTTACACCAAAATAACCATTCATATTAGAATGTTTTTAAATTGTTCAGCTCGGAGAAACCACCCATTTAAGGAGTTATTTTTTTTATGTGGCAAAAGGACCAGATGTGTTTACTAGGACAAATTTGTAGCTTTCCAGCTATACATGGTAGAACACATCAAAAGAAAATGTAGAAAGAAAGAAATACTAGCTAGTACTACCAAATATACTAGTTTTTTTAAGAAGGAGCAGGTTGATGCTTGATAGTTCTTTCCAAACAAGCAAACTTACTATGAAGAAGTCTGCCTGTTTCTTTCCTGTACTCTTCTCAGAGACACTGGTCAACAGATCCCACAAACGATAACCTAGTTACTAAATTTGTCTAGCATTGAAAGTCATATGAAAAATATAAAAAGTGGACTGCTCACCTAGCCATATGCGTATAATACCCATGTAGTCCTTATTTTTGGCAGAGAGAAGCTTGTCATATGAGGGACAGCCCGCTAACAGGATGCGGTCATGGTCTTCACACATGGCTATCAAATGCTGCTCTGCACTCCTTGTGCAGCATACGTGGTAATGGGCCAGTTTGGTTATAGCATGTCTGATAGAGTCATCAATGGTCCCACTGACTTCCCCACCTTCAATGTGAAGAATGCGAATATTCATCAGGGCTGCAGATGTGGCCAGGGCCAAAGCATCAAATCTGTCCCCATGAACTATCATTATGTCAGGTTTCAGGCGGTTCAGGACATCCGGTAACTTCACTAATGCAAGGCCCACTGACTCCACCATAGCTGCCTCATCCTCCCCTCTCACAATGGTGTGCAATCTCGTATGAATATCGAAGTCATCTTGTTCAATCATACGATAGGTATTACTGAAGGTAAGAGGAAAAGGGTTACAGTAAATACAACTTGATTTTACAGCAACATAGCTTGACAAAATAACTGCATGTTACAATAGTTGTACTGGGTTTGAACAAAGGCCTGCTTATCACATCTCCTTCATTGGGGAAATTAGTTTTTAAGATTCTAACAGAATGCTCTCATCCATACGAAGATCTTCTCTCATATTCCAAGCATCAGGTTTTTCTAGACACCTTTAATAAGGAGCCCTGCTGAATGTTCTGGAAACCCTCAGAAATCAAACTCTGCTCATATGTTTGCAGAATCTTTCAGAGACTAATATGGCATTAACTACTTTCACAAAAGGTATGTTGACTCCTCCCCAATATATCAACTTTGCTGGACAAATGTATAAATACAACAAATATGATGCAAAGCTAAGGCCTATATGTCCAAGGAAAACATTTTGCAGGTAGCATCCATTTTTCAGATTCTGTATTGAAGTTGTATCAAGACATATATTCATAGACTTAAGAAATCACTACACAAAGAGGCCTTAAGTTCAAAGGAAACAGGCTTTTGCACTAAAGAAAAAAGGTTTTCCACATACTAACAGCTTCATTCCATAATGAGAAAGCTAAAACGTTCTTTGAATACTGAGAATTGTTACAGTTATGTGTTTGAAATACAAAAGATCATACATCTGTATAAGATTACCCATCTTCCACATTCACTAAACCTGACTTAAGGAGTCTGCACACTCTGGCTGAAGTAAGAGAGAAAAAACCCAGAACTCTTCCAATCCCGTCTTCAACCCATCTGACACATTCACTGTCTTATTCAAAGGATTACATTTTTAACCTGATTTAAATAAGAATTCATTTGCATTAGATCTACCCTGCTACTCCCATTCTGCAGATAAAAATCTCACGATCTGCAAGAGGAGCAAAGACAGCAAAGACTGAAGTGTGCCAGCTCAAGTAAAGAAGCAATCTCCATTCTGCGTAACTAAAGAAACCCATATTAATCTACTCAACTCTGCTCACTGCTGTAACACACAGGACATATTCCTACAAGTAACTTGTCAGGTAATTTGTTCTTTTTAAAAGGAAAATTATTTTTATGTAACTGAGTGAAGCAGCTTAGAGTTTTACAGCATAAATTGCATTCCACTTCCAACTCCATTTCCAATTACCCTTCACAGACCTGCATTTTGACTACTGTGTGTATTTATCTCAAAAAAAAAAAAATTTCTTCTCTTTCTTCTATATTCTTTCCCTTCTGAAAGGTCAAAATCTAGGGAAAAAACAAGACTGCATTTTTGGTGTTTTGTTTTTTACTATCCTCAAAACATTACAGTAAAAAACATTTCACAGGATCACCATCATTTCAATTCTGCTGCTGTTGATCACCCTACTCAAATCACTGGAACACATATGTTTTGAGGACCCACTAACTCTCTAGGATTCCTGAGATTAAGGAGTGCAGGGCTAGGTCCCCCCCAAAAAAAACCCCAAGCAAGCAACTAACAGCAACAACACTTGTCAGATCAAAATCTCTATTGCTTTGTGCAAAACAAATAATTTACATCACAGAGATAGGTGTTAAACACGTCAGCATTTGAAGAGTAAGTATTTCATATTACTTTGCACAAGTCTTGCAGACAGCAAAGGGTTCAGGAGTATAGAAAAATCAGGGCCATGTTTCTCCTCTTTGCCAAATGAAATGGGATTACCTTATTTCTCCAGTCAGACAGGATGCCATTCAACATGCTAACCTGGCAAGAAGTTTGATTGGGGTTTTTTGATTGTTTTTTTAAATCAGGTTAGTTTCGTGGTGTTGAATTCACCTTGCCGCATTATTAGATGGAAACAACATCCAGTACAAAGCAAGGAACAGAGCACTATGCTGAGAATGGGCAGCTGTGGAACTTCTGTTCTACGAGTTTGAGATAATGTAACTTCTTCACACCCTGTTATAAAGTGCCAAAATTTCTCATTGGAAAGTCCAAAAAGTGTCTTTATTTAAAGATATGTGTAACATTTCTAAAAGTTCAACAATGCTGATATGCTGCAAACCTTATGCTGAAGTCTGATTGTGACTTGCAAATTAAGTGTTTTCCTATCTATTACCCTTAGTGGGCCAAATCTGGTAAATGCAGCCAGACCAAAATCTACCAAACAACTACCACAATCTCAGCAAGAATATGCATGCTGTTCCTCCTGCCTTTTTCCCAGCAAACAGGAGAATATTCACCTGGGATGTGGGAAGTCCTTCCTAAGGAAGGGATTTGGACCAAGACATCACCTGTCTATCCTCCCAGACAGGTGATCTGACTGCTTACTTACAGGATGTTATAGAGGGGACCCTAATCTCTCCTGCTAAATCGTACCAAATATACCTACCCGTTACTCATTTTGTCAGAAACAGACAACCACCCTTTCCTTCTTCCACAATCCTGGAAGTAAGAACTAATAGTATTCCCCTGGGGTATGGAATATGTAAGGACTTTCTCCCATATTCAAAGCAGCAGAGCTGCAAATTAGCTTTTCTCTGTGAAAATTAAAGACTGTAGCACATTTCATTTGCTATTATACGAAATCTGAATGAACTGAGTTTCTCACTTCACATAGTCTGTGATCCTGATGAAGATCTCAATTACAGCAGTTACACAAAACTTTCCAAAATTCTAAAATTGTCTGAAAAAAGAAACCACCAGAAATATGAAATCTCAGAAGGACCTGCAAAATGCAATAAAATCTGAAAAAAAAATTAAATTGTGTTGCGTGCATTCATGATAAGAAGGATTTTGTTTCAAACATTCATGAAGTTATTGCCAAGGCCCCAGAAACAGATTGGCAGAGATACAAAAATTCACCTTACCCATAATCATCAATCAGATGGGAACCAAGCACTACAACATCAAGCTCAAAGAACTGTGGTTCTGCCTTAATACCAAACATAATGGGAGCTAATTTTGAATAATCAGCACGGTTGCAAGTGGCAACACAAACACGAAGTTTGTGGTTGTTTCCATTCTTCTCCATGACTTCCTTTTGTTTCTGTTTTGAAAGATTTTTGAAATACACTTCCTGAAATAACATGAAAAAAAAGAAGCATTAATAATAATCTTCAGAGGAAGTAAATGGTACACTTAATGAACAGTACACAAGTGCTGCCCAGAATTGTGGACACATCCTAACTCGTTCCATTGATAACAGACAACTGATACCTTACAGTACCTATCATTAGAAAATTTTAGAAAAGGACAGATTTTTTTTTTTTTTTTTTGGTTAAAACTCACTTAATTTTAATACCTCTGTTTCTACAAATATATAAATATTGTTTCAATATAATTTTTAAGTATTATGAAGTTCAGCTATAATTAAACAGTAAAATTAGTTTTTCCTGTTCAGATGGAAGCTTCTGTTTAAGTGGAAAGATTATTGATGCCTTAGTAAATTAAAGAAAAAAAAAATCATATTCCAAAACCACAATGGAACAAACTGCTAAAAGATATATCCACTCACAGACTCTGAACAAAAAGAGAAAGTTTTCACCCGAGACAGTTTATGTATCTGTTAAACTCACTTTATCTCAAGTGTGTTAAACATTGACTTCTAAACCCTTACATACTATTTTGCAGGCCAAAGTACATCAAGATATTCAATAATACAATATTAGGTTACAAAAAGACAACAACTTCTGGAGACGATTAAACAAATAAGGATGATGATTATCATCAGGCAATTTGGAAGCTATTAAAAAAAAAGTTTCAACAATTGAAATACCACAGAAACTCAATATTTTTACAAGCAACATCAACAGTTACTGTAACAAGACATTTTCTCTAATCCAATTCTATGGCTTTTTTAGTAGCTGATCAAACTGCGTAATAATTTTTTAACATTTACCTATCCTCTGTTTACCATTTTTCCTTGCTGTTTTTATTGTGGGGTTTTTTTCATTTAGCAATTGGAATTTTTTTTTTAAAAGCCTATTAAAAAAGGATACAGCAATAACTCCACCAAAATAACCCAAATTTCCTCTCTCCTCAAACAGAAACGACTAAGTTGGTAGCAGAGGGTATCAGACCAGCTATTTATAAGTTTTTTATTTTTCTCCTTCTGAAAGTAACTGGATTTTAAGTAAGTACCATCCTTTCAGTGAAGTCTTTTCCAACCTTAATGATTCTATGGTTCTATGGTATGAAACCTAACGTTATGTCAGATTTTTACTCCAGTTTAAGAGCAAGTAAACTTTTTTCCAGATTAATGCACAAGGATTACTCATCTCTGACTCAGATTCTGAGTATCAATCTATTCTGGTTTTGAAGGTCTTTCTGAGAAGCTGCTGTGTAAGCCTGGCAGTGCTGACATCCAATTTCACAGTCCTTTTATATCAATTTTTTTTTTCAGTAAATTTTTAAAATAAAGTCTATTGTGACATCCCACCATTACAAAACTCTAAAAATTCTGCTCAAAAATTTCCCTGTCTTTAACAGAGATTAGTTTACATTTTATCACATGTAATGAAAAAATGTTTTTGGTTTAATAGTCATATTAGGGTGATCAGGAATCTACCCAAATTGTCAAAGGTAAGACATTCCTGATTTCCACTTGCAATCCATTATGGCTCTGCAAAACTAAGACTGGCAGTGATGTTTTTCGTACTTTAACTCCAGCAACAATTACTCTTGAGAGAGTAACTTACAGTACCTTTCAGAATGCAAATGAAATGGCAAAAAGCAAATACAGCTGCTTTTACTAAGCTCATAAGAAATGGCATTTCTAATTTACTCACGCAAAGCAGCTATGGCTATGCCAACCAACTTCAGTAGAATAGATAACAGTGTGGAATTTCAGCATTTCATAGAATCATAGAACGGTTTGGCTTGGAAAGGACCTTTAAGATCACTGAGTTCCAACCCCCCTGCCATGGGCAGGGACACCTTCCATTAGAACAGGTTGCTCAAAGCCTCATCCAGCCTGGCCTTGAATACATCCACAGGGACAGCATCCACAAATTCTCTGGGCAGCCCGTTCCAGTACCTCACCACCCTCACAGTAAAGAATTTCTTCCTTATGTTGAATCTATATCTGCCCTCTTTCAGCTTATAACCATTATCCCTCGTCCTATCACTACACTTCCTGATAAAGAGTGCCTCCCCATCTTTCCTGCAGGCTCCTTTAAGTATTGGAAGGCTGCAATATTGTCTCCCCAGAGCCTTCTCTCCTCTATGCTAAAACTCTCTCAGCCTGTCCTCATAGGAGAGGTGTTCCAACCCTCTGATCGTCTTCGTGGCACTCCTCTGGACTCGCTCCAACAGGTCCATGTCCTTCTTATGTTGGGGGCCCCACAGCTGGATGCAGTACTCCAGGTGGGGTTTCATGAGAGCAGAGCAAAGGGAGAATCACCTCCCTCAACCTGCTTCTGGTCACGCTTCTTTTGATGCAGCCCAGGACACGGTTGGCTTTCTGGGCTGCAAGCGCACACTGCCGGCTCATGTTCAGCTTCTCAGCAATCAACACCCCCAAGTCCTTCTCCTCAGGGCTGTTCTCAATCTGTTCTCTGCACAGGCTGTATTTGTGCTTGGCATTGCCTCGACC